TCCGACAGCATGCTGCTGGTGCTGCCCGACCCGGACCCCGTACGCGCCCCCGCGCAGAGGCGCGCCGCCCGCCGTGCGCAGCGCCAGCCGCCCCCGGGTCCCCGCGCCACAGCGGCCAAGGCCAGAGCTAGACCCAGGCCCGAGCCCGAGCGGGGGCCCGATCCTGGCTGGGGCGACCGCCTCCCCTTGGAAATCCTGGTGCAGATTTTTGAGCTGCTGGTGGCGGCCGAGGGGCCCACGCCCTTCCTCGGCAGGTACCCTAAATACCTCGGGCCTCAGGCACCGCGGGCGGTTTCACGGCAGCGCCCCAGGCTGACCTGTCACCCAGCGCATGTCTGGGGCGGGGGGCAGAGTGTGAAAGCTCTGAGCGCGTACACACGTGTACCCAGGCATCCAGCCGCCAGTCGTCCGGGTGGCTGGTTCACTTGGAGCCCTGGCGCTTGGTCTTGAGCTGGGGTGTCTGAAGCGCTGAGAAATGTCACAGCGGTAGTTGGTGGTGGGCACCGCCCCAGAGGGACCCAGCCCCTCAGCAGAGCTGTTTCTCAGGGTTGCACGAGTGTGCCGCCGCTGGCACGAGGCCGCCTCCCAGCCCAAGCTGTGGCACACCGTGACCCTGTCGCCCCCGCTGGCTGGCTGCTCCACCAAAGGTGAAGCCAAAGCGGAGAAAAAGCTCCTTGCTTCCCTGGAATGGCTTATGCCCAACAGGTGAGGGGTACTCTTTTGTCCTTTCTCCTTACTCTACCAAGTAGGCTGTGCAGAACCCACGCCCCTCTTTCTACACTGAGGTGTGGGGTGGGAAGGATGCTGCTGGAGGAGCCGGGGTGGACACTGGGGCAGTCCTGCCTGTGCTGTCGGCCCAGGTTCTCCCAGCTCCAGAAGCTGACCCTCCTCCACTGGAAGTATCAGGTGCGCCCCGTGTTGAAGGTGAGTGTGGAGGCTGGCCTGCACAGCAGTGTGACACTCTGGGATTACCCAGTACTTCCAGGGAGCAGGTCTGACGCATGCTGCTGGCATCTGCGCCAGTGGTATCTGCCCTGCACCCAGTAGGGTGGTATCAGAGGTGGGGACCCAGGACTGCGAGGTCCTCGTGGGGCCTCTTCCCTCGTGGACCGTGGCCTGCCCTCCCCACTCCTGCTGGCCCCGTCTTCTACAGCTGGCTACCGAGTGCTGCCCTCGACTCACCTATCTCAAGCTTTCTGACTGCCACGGGGTGACCCCTGACACCCTAGTCATGCTGGCCAGAGCCTGCCCTCAGCTCCACAGCCTGGATCTGCAGCACTCCACGGTGAGCCCAGTGTCCCCAGGGGCCCTGAAGAAACTGGGCTGACATGATAGGCACCCTGTGCTGGGCCCTCAGGTGGAAGCCACAGCTGTGGTGAGCTTCTTGGAGGAGGCGGGGCCCCGAATGCGCAGGCTGTGGCTGACCTACAGCTCCCAGACAACAGCCATCTTGAGCGCACTGCTGGTAGGTTGGTGACGGTGGGGCATAGCCAGCTGCTGAGCCCGGCAGCCAGGCCTCTGATCCCTGTTCTCTCCACCCCTGCAGGACAGCTGCTGCCCCCAGCTCCAGGTCCTGGAGCTGGGCACTGGCCTCACTCGCTACACCACTCCCCTCCAGCTGCCGGTGGAGGCCCTGCAGAAAGGCTGCCCCCAGCTGCAGGTACCAGCCGCCCGCCTCCCTGGCCTGCGCACCCCACCTCCCTCACCTGCCTGCCCCTCCTCGTCTGCAGCCTGGGCCTCACCTGCAGGTCCTGCGACTGCTGAACCTGACATGGTGGGCCAAGCCTGCAGGGCGTGGGGTGCCTCTGGGCCCAGGATTCGCCAGCCTGGAGGAACTGTGCCTCGCCAGTACCGCCTGCAACATTGTGACCAACGAGGTTCTGGGCCGCCTGCTGCACGGCTCACCCCGCCTGCGCCTGCTGGACCTCCGCGGCTGCGCCCGCATCACGCCTGCCGGCCTGCACCGTCTGCCCTGTCAGGGTCAGGTGCCCTAGGTGGTGGGTGGCTGGGAGGTGGGTTGTGGAGGCTCTCTGTGACCCCAGCTCATGCCTCCTCCCACCTCTAGAGCTGGAGCAGCTGTACCTGGGCCTGTATGGCATGTCAGACCGGCTAACTCACACTAAGGAGGGCAGCCCCCTGCTGACCCAGAAGTGGTACCGCACCCTTCGCGAGCTGGACTTGAGTGGCCAGCGCTTCAGTGAGAAGGACCTGGAGCAGGCGCTGGCGGCCTTCTCGGGCACCCCTGGGGCCTCATACCCGGCCCTGTGCTCCCTCAACCTCAGGGGCACACGGGTCACAGCCAGCATAGTCAGGTCAGTGCCAGCTCCAACCCCTGGAGCCAGTAGGGCTGGCCACCCTGCCTACCTGGGGCCCAGATGCAGAGTCCAGCCTGGCCCTCTGTGGGGGTCAGGGGCACATGGTGGGCAAGGTCCTGCTTGGGACTGGCTCTCAGGTGATACTTACAAGCTGGGGGACACTAATGATACTGAATTGTGGGTGGCAGGTTCGAGCTAAGAGGTCTCCAGGGCTCTGGGCAGGGTTTGAGCCCATGGCCCTGCTCTGTCGCCACAGCTCTGTCATCAGCAGTTGCCCAGGCCTGGTGTACCTTAACCTGGAGTCCTGCCGTTGCCTTCCCCGGGGCCTGAAGCGGGCCTACCGGGGCCAGGAGGAGGTCCAGTGGTGCTTGGAGCAGCTGCTCACCAGCCCCCCGTCCCCCAGCTAGGCGGCTTCAGACCCCAGACCCATCAGCCAACTGTGCTCTGTACTGCTAACTAGTTTTGGATGTTTGAGTATTTTTGCAATAAATCATTTTTACAAACTCTGGGTGTGATCCTTTGGGTAGGGGGGAAGGATGAGGGATGCCTAGGGGCACCTGAGGTTCCTGTGCCTTCATGGCTGTGCTGGGCCACTGTCTTGGCCTGTGTGTCCCACCCTCAGGGACACCGAGGTGGGCTGTCCCCAGTGGTGGGAGGCTATCGTTCCAGCACAGGTGGGGCCCTGCCCAGCCCTGGAGTTTGGGGTGGCCTGTAGATTCCAGCTGAGGCCTGGAAGCCAAGTTCAACCACTCCACCTTTCAGGTGAGGGCTCTGAGTGGGTGGTGCTGGGGCCTCTGGTGGGGGGTGGGGCAGGGGACTGCACGCCCACCGTGGCACCTGACGCCAGGACCCGAAGAGAGGTCAACAGAGCGGGCCCCTTCTAGAACGTGCGGCCCCGAATGTCTAGAATGCACGCGCAGCCTGGCCTGGACAGCCGCCTGGCCCTCGCACCCGTCGCCTGTGTGCTCCTGCCCCAGCCGCAGCCCTGGAAAATCTCCTTCCCCAGGTATGAGCGCGCCTGCGGGAGGCAGCGGCGGAGAAGCCTGCCCGGCTGACCACCTGTGCCTGCTCAGGTCCCTAAGGGCCAGATCAGCGGCCTCCCCACTACCTCCGTCGGGAACCGCTTCCAGCTCTGGGCGCTGGGATGCTTCTGTACCGAACGCCACCTAGCCAAGCGCCTGATGAACAACAGTTTCTACCCGTTCTCCAGGCAGCAGCCCA